CTATCTATCTATCTATCTATCTATCTATCTATCTATCTATCTATCTATCCATCCATCCACTTACTTATATAAATATATATGTATATATAAGAATATATATAGTTGAGTATGGTGGCGCACCTTTAATTCCAGCACTCAGGGAGGCAGAGGCAGGCATATCACTGTGAGTTCGAGGCTAGCCTGGTCTACAAAGTGAGCCCAGGACATCCAAGGCTACACAGAGAAACCCTGTCTTGAAAACCCATCACCACCAGCAACAAAAAGAAAATACTATATATGTATATATAAGAATATATAGGCATATGAATGTATATGTACCTTATCACTATACCACACCTGGATCTTTCAAGAATATATATGATACTATATACTTAGGTAACTAATATTACTAATACAAGGACCAAAGAAGTGAAACAATTAAAATAATGACTAGAAATGTAGTCTTCTTCCTTGAAATACTTTTTAAAAAAAACTGATGTACATCTCAGTCCCCTTGGGTATCAAGTTCCATTTCTGTAGCCAGCACCACAAACCCTTTACAGATGTACAAGGTTAGCTTTATATCCTTAACCTTCAAACAACTGGTGACGTATCCTAATAGTTATTTCGGGTACTCTGCACCAGTCTTCACTGTCTGGAAGCCATCTTGAGTCCTGACTGTCTTCCTTCCTTAGGTTGAAGTTCCTCCCTCTTTAGTTATCATCTGTCTCAAAAGGGTGCTTGTGAGATGGCTCAAAGTAGCTAAGGGAAGCCTGATGGCCGGAGTCTGCACTATGGGACCCATACAGTAGGAGAGAACTGACTCCTACCAGTTGTCCTCTGGCATATGCTCCATGGCGTGTGTGCTCTACATAAACATATGCATGTGCATGTATACACACACACACACACACACACACACACACACACCTCAGAATAATTTCCTAGACTTATGGATAGTAATTTTGCATTTCCTATTTACTCTCCAGTCCCTATTCGCCTTTAACATTTTAAAAATGATTTTATGTATATGTCTGTCTGCATGTACATATGTGTACCATGTGTGTGCCTGGTGCCTGGTGCCTGTGAAGGTCAGCAGAGGGCACAGGACTGCTGGGAACTGTAGTTAGTGGTTGTGAGCGGCCATTAGACGGGGAACTGAACGTGGGCCCTCTGTGAGAGCAGCAACCATTCTCCACTGCTGAGCCATCTATCTAGCCCACTTCCCTCTCCTTTGAGAAGTTTCTGCAATCATTCCTACTGGCCTACACAACTTCGGGTGTTTCCAGTCAGTCCCTATTTGTTCAACCACTTTATAAAGTTTGTTTTTAAACATTCCCTCTGTTACTCCTTTCTTCCCAAGATTTGCTCGCCTTTCTCCTGCGCTTTCTGCAACTCTCCTTACTGTTCTGGCAATGCAACTACTTTCATCACTGGAAATGAGACTGAGAAGAACTATTTCTATAAGGCTTCAGAGCTGTGATAAAGCCATGCTGCTGATAAATCTGCTGCTAGTCACTCACAGTAGAACTGTCATGGCTGGAAAAAAAAAACATAAAAATCATATGAGAATTGTATATTTAGGCTGCTTTGCCAAGTACCTTTACGTATTTGCCATACTTTACTGTAAGATTTCTTTCTGGACAGGGTTTTGCCATATGGCCTGGGCTAGTGTGAACTTTGCAAGCCTTCTGCCTTAGCCTCCCACTTCATTTCAGAGCAAATGACTCTGGGAACTGCAGAGGCTACGTACATTACGTATAGACTTAGGCAAGGAAAGTAACAAGGGATTTAAATAAGTATCCAACTAAAAGAAAAGCCTTCATTCTAGATCAGACATTAAGTTAACTTAATCGTATGTTTCTATACAGGTATTTTTGTCTATTTGTTTATCGTGGTGCGTGTTTGCAGGTCTCTGTGTGGGCCTGTGTCTATGTAGAAGCCAGAGCACAATGGTGGGTGTCCTTCTCTATCACTCTCTGTCTTAGTCCCCGAGACATCGCTTATTGACTTTTGTTAGCCTGGCTGACCAGCAGGCTCGGATCCCCAGCACTGGTGTTACAGACACATATGGCCATTTGTGGTGCTGGGCATCTGGTCCTCTTGCTTGAGCAGCAAGTGCTGTCAGCCACTGAGCCCTCTCCCTAGCCTAGCATCTTAGTTTCTAAAACATGATTACCACACTTAACACACTTTTAAAATGAGCAGACTTACCACTACCCTGTTTCCTTATGTACTCTATTAGATGGACTTATGTACCCTAGATCACTCCTAAAGATGACAAGCACTGGCAAGCCTATTGTTTGAAGGGTTCCACTGTTTTACAGTTCATTCTCTACTTAGGACCGTTTCTGTTCTTCCTCGGCATCAAGGTTTTGTGATAGTTTCCTATAAAAAACCAACCATTTTCAAAACTATGGTATGGAACAGTGTCAAAAAGTTTACCAGGTGTAATTTTATATAGAACAAAGTATACCTTACACAGCCACATAACTACCAGTGATCAATACTTGAAGTATTTTCAGTATTTCAGCATTTCTTTTCTTTCCCTCTCCTCTTACAGGCCATCAACCCCTTACTCCTTCCTGGCTCCAGACAACCAAGGGTCTGCTTTCTTTTAGTTCAGACATGCAGGACTGTATGTACACAGAATCATACAGTTTATACCTTTTCTTTCCTTTGGATTCATCCTTTCTGTTTTGATTGCTTAATACTTTGTTTCTTTTTACTGTTGAGTAGAATTCTATTGTATAAATAAGATTTATTTATCTAGTCAACTTTGATAAACATTTGGCTGCTCCCAGATTGGGGCTATTATGAATAAAGCTGCTATACATATTCATATACAGGTCCTGGGGGAACATATGTTTTCTATCTTTAAGTTATTTCTTTATTGAAGCAGGGTCTTACTATGTAGCCTTGGCTGGCCTGGAACTTAGTGTATAGATCAGGCTGGCCTTCAGCTTACAGAGATTTACTTGGCAGCTATTTTATGTTTTTGAGATAGGGTCTCTCTCCAGAGCCCAGGCTAGCTTAGAACTCATTCTATAGCCTTGGCTAGCCTAGAACTCAAGGCAATCCTTCTAAAATTTCCAAGTACTGCTCACCTATATCTCTTTTCTTTGACTACAAATCTAGGAATCAAGTCATACGCTACATATGTATTTAAGTTGGAAAGCAGATAGAAATTTGTTTTTCAACTCGGCATCATCTTATTTCTACTATATATATATTATAATACACACACACACACACACACACACACACACACACACACA